ACTGTTTCCTTTAATTACAAATTCTTCATTCTCCATCAGATTATCAGCCAGAGGCTTTATCATTAATTTTGCTCTTCTTTCCTTCATGGCATTATTCCAAAAATATGAGATTTCCATGCTAAAAATATAAAGACCACTGCTTACTGTATAATACCAAATCTGAAAATTCCAACCACCCTGGCAAGAATACTTCACCAAGCCTACACTGAATGGCACATTTATAGGTAGAACTGCAATTTTAACATCCATTTTGGGTTGGCCAGCAACCTGGAGAAAATCAACTTTGTTTTTTTATAGAATCATTAATATTAGTGCACTTAAAATCTTACATTAGGGAATTCTATAGTCTCATTAGTCAACAATATTCACATACATGACCTGTATGCACAAGTCCAAAAGATAGATTGTTAAAGATACATTTCAGTGTATTTGTCATGTTGGGAAGTAGGATAAGATTAAAATCATGGCATGTTCTTACATTCTATACTAAAATCTATTTTAAAAATATAATGGTGTAAACAAAGTAGATATCTGAAAAGAGGTGTGCAGTCACTCGTCTTTGAGAAGCACTTTGTGCTTCTTTGGCACATGTCACAGCAGCAGTGGTAGCAGCAGCCTTGCCCTTGGTGCTGATTCCTTACTACTCTAAATGTCTCCTCTGAGCCAGAATACACTGGCTGTTGCTGATCATGCTGTGAGACACCTGCACTGGCTACTAGGCTTGTCATGACGCACAAAACCCTACCATCTTCAGCTTGACATTGTGCAAGTTATAATTATTCATCCAAATGAATATGTCAGAGCAGCAGCAGCAGACCTCTCATCAGAGCAAGAGAAAAATACATCAAAACATTATCAACCCAGCAGGAAGACAGGGACCATAAGGAAAATTACCCATTTTTAATATGGATGCCACAAAGCCATGTCTATTATTTTACAAAAAGAATGGAAAATAAAGATCTTCCAAGTTTAAAGTCCAGAAATACTGAATTCAAAGAAAAAATTATACAAAAGCAGAAAAGGAATGTTTGTTTTTTAAAATCAATTATCTGGAACCTACTAACAGTCTCTTAAATGTTTGCTATTAGACTACAATAGTAGCATTTATTTTGGTTGAGAACCACAACTGTTTAAAACTTGTTTAAAAAAAATAATTCCCACAAGCAGAATTATTTCCAACAAATCAATGAAAAAGGATCAAAAACAGCAAACAAGTCTGATATTGCTTCTTACTTTCAAAACACATCGCCAACACTCTTCTCATACCTAAAAGACTCAAGAATTCATACCCCCTGGTAACATCACCAAAATACTTATGATGTACAACTAGACTTTAAAAGAATAGATAAATATTATATTTTGAAAATTTTCTAAAGTTTAATGTCATGCATAAATGAAAAATTGAAATCACTTCCCGATCTCCACAAATGAAGATGGCACATCCAAATGAGCATATACAGAATAGGCAAGTGTAAATAGATTCCTATCTCATACTTAAATAGTAAATAAATATGAAAAATACTTAAGTAAATTTGAAAAATGTGTAACTTTTAGAACAAACTACAGAATATATTTTCAGTATAAGACATGCAAGATTTTTCAATTCAAGATCAAAAGAGTAGAAATCACAAGGAAGAAACTGTTAAACTTCGGATTGACAAAATATAACATATACAAAGTTAAAAGACATGCCACAGGGAGAAGATACTTAAATTTCAAAATAATCAACAAGAATTAGTGTCCAAAATAAAATATATAAGGAATGCTTATAATAAAAGAAAAAATTTAAATAGACTCAGGTTATAAACACAGTAATAATGATTTATCATTCCTAATAAAAACTAAGGTCAGAATAAAATCAGACTAAGATTTGGAAGGTTTTTGAAAATGTAGGAATTATTATGCATTACTGGGTAGGAGTATAAACTTATATAACCAATTTGGGTAGGCAACTGGCAACATCTAGTAATCTCAAAGAGGTGCATTTCCCTACAACCCTGCATTTTCACTACTAGGTATAAGCAGCACTAAAAGTCTCACATGTGTACAAAGAAACATGTTAGGATGTCACTGCAGCAAAAAATTTAGTAAGAAAACTGCGAACAACCTTATCAGCAGGGCAACAGATAAATTAACTGGTAGACTCATATAATGGAATGATATAAAGCATTTAAAATAAATGTGCTACACATGCATGGATCATTGGTAAACCATTGTAAAAACCATTGTAAAACCATTGTAAAAAATCAAACTGCAAATGTGAGAGAAAATGGCATAAACAAATGTAGCAAACAAATGCATAGATAGCATTCACATCATTTCAGGGAAGTGGTTACCTCTCAAAAGGAAGAGAGGGAAAGAAAGAGGAAAGGAGAAAGGAAAAGGAGGGGTAAGTCTTAGTTGTTCCAAAAACATTTTATTCCTAAGAGAGGACAGAAATAGGGAGAGAGATAGCTGAAGCGAATGTGACAAAATATTAACATCTGTCAAATTTGAGTTGTGGATAATAAGGTATCCAAATTTCTTTCTGTACTTTGCTAAGAATTTTAGTATATTCTGTAACTTAAAAATTAATTTGTGACATTCCTATTACTACTAATTAATTCTATTTTCTTGGAGCTAATACAAAACAGAACATTTGTATGACCCAATTAAATCTAAAATATGAATTTAAATTAGTATTATAAACACTTCATACTTATATATCTAAGGCACTTGAACTAGTGTTAAGTAGGATACAAAATTTTTAAAAATTTCTTCAAAGATTTTCTAGTCTAGTGGAGTCACACATTAATGTTGCTAAATGGCAAAATATGATAAGTGCATTTTTCTGTGGAGATGCAAACTTTTTTCACAGATTAAAATCCGGGGAAAACCTGTATAGTTATCTAAAACAAAACAAAACTAAGAAACATCAAAAACATATTCTTCAACCTTGAGTTTTGATAAACACTGAAGTAAAATTTAGAGATAGCATATCTGGAAAGAGTAATACAATCTAGGTACAATGTTATTGCACTGTCTCATATAAAACAAAGATAAAGCCTGGCTGATGTCGCTCAGTGGTTGAGTATCGACCCATAAACCAAGAGGTCATGGCTGGATTCCTGGTAAGGGCATATGCCAGGGTTACAGGCTCGATCCCCAGTAGGGAGCGTGCAGGAGGCAGCCAATAGATGAATCTCTCTCGTCACTGATGTTTCTCTCTCTCTCTTCCACTCTGAAATGAATAAAAACGTATTTTTAAAAATCAACAAAGATAAAGCTTACAGAGCCAAATAGACAATGTATATTAAAAAAAAGGAAAGTATATAATTTATATATCATTCCAATTCTTTTTTTAAAAACTCAACACACTATTTCCTATCCTATATAATAAAAGCCAAATATGCTAAGTGCCCGGTCATTCGTTCAACCAATCAAAGTATAATATGCTAATGATATGCTAAGGATGCTCAACTGCTCACTATGATGTGCACTGACCACCAGGGGGCAGACAGTCGACTAGTCGACCAGTCTCTATGATGTGCACTGACCACCAGGAGGCAGACGCTCCGACCGGTAGGTTAGCTTGCTGCTGGGGTATGGCTGATCAGGACTGAGGGAGATGGGCCGGATATGCCCTGGAGCCCTCCTGTGGTCCCTCCCTGGCTGGCCAACCTCCCATGTCCCTCCCTGGCCCCAACTGTGCACCGGCAGGGTCCCGTGGCCTGGACTGTGCCCTCTTGCAACCTGGGACTCCTCGGGGGATGTCGGAGAACCGGTTTTGGCCCGATCCCGCAGGCCAGGCCGAGGGACCCCACTGGTGCATGATTTCATGCACTGGGCCTCTAGTGTATTTATGATATATAACAGAATACCAAAAGTAAATCACATGGCTTTTCCTCTCCTTTATTTTGCTTTTTTCTCTATTTCCATTGAAAGGAGAAAGCCTTTTTTTGTTTTTAAAGAAAAAAATGAGAAAAATAATTTTGAATATTTGTACAAATGTAGAACCTTCACACTACTTAAATGCTGTTACGCTTTTTTCCCCCAAAAAACTTCATGTACAATACAGTTGCTTTACATATTTCTAATATAAAATATAAGCATAAATTTTCACTTGAACTTAACAAAATTTCCTAACAAAAAATATTTGTAAAATGTCACTAGGAATTTTGTTTTCTTTGCATAAACAGAAATGTGTGACACAATTTACCAATGAAAGAAGGACCATGCCCATCATCATTAGATTGTTCTTTGAACTTAACTGCTACTATTCAGCCAGGTCTTCAGAAACCACACATATAATGTTGATGATGGACTACTGATAATCATACCTTATAACTATATAATGTTACAGTTTACAATGCACTTCTAAACACATTATCTTATTAGATATCATCAATGTATTGAGAAATTCAATTGACAGGAGCAGGAGAAAGAATCTCCAATATTCTTATTCAAAGTATGAATGTTTGGACACACATACAAAAATAAAATTTTCTAGGTCCAAGGATGAATGCAGGAGAAACACTTAAAAACGATAAAAAAAGAGTTGAAAGTGAAAGGCTTATATTTTTAGTCATAACTCATTCTCTTTTAAAGATTCTCTGATATTTTGTCAGCAATGTTAAAAGATTTAACAGTCTGAAAAATGTCACCCAATTTTCTACTTACTGCTCACTGCTTTATAAACAGTGCTTTAGACTTTAAATTTAAAGCAAAATTTCTGTCAACAGAGCTGCTTCATGTTTATCTAAACTGAAGCATAAAGATCTAAAGACTGAATGGTGTGTGTTTACGTGTACGTGTTGTGTGTGTGTGTGTGTGTGTGTGTGTGTGCAGAGAGAAAATGAACATAAACTACTAGTAAATATAAAAGATGCACTCTAGAAGTCCTGTTTATAAACAAATGCTTAAAGAAAACTAAGAGAAAATCACGTTATAACCTATAATGGCCACTTATAAATAAATAGAATATGCTTTTTTAACTACTTAAAATAAATTTAAGAATGTACCTGTGGAGTCCAGGAAACAGAAAATGAAACAGGAAAATCCACAAAACAATCTGGTGATTCCACAGGGTACTGTGAAAAAGCAAAAATATAGGTTAATTTTACTTCTGTGTGACAATTTCACATAAGGTATTTTAGAAAAACTGATTAGGAATAGTATTATAAATGCAAATGTATTATATATACTTTGCTTCTATTAGAGATGTCAAGAACTGATTAGCAGTTAAATTATGTTCAAGAGGTATAAAGTTTGATGAATTGGGGATAAAAACACAATCAGTTTTTTCAAGGAAGAATGAATGAAGTCAGTGTTAAGTGAGCTGCTAAGGTGACTGCAGGGTGAACTACACTGTACCTCAGTTTCTTATCTTTAAAATAAGAGGTCAAACTAATTGATATTAGTTTCCTTTCAGTGTAAAATTTAATCTCAAATAGCCTGCTACTATTTGAAGAGGCAGTATCAGAATCAAGACATGCACAAAAATACAAACAATTCTTAATTATAAAATAAAATGTATTTTCCACAATTAAGCAATTACTTTTAGTAAGAAGATTTTAAAAAAGAGTAAAATGCCTTCTTTATTAAGGAAAAACAAAGTAATAGTTTTAAGCCAGAAAAACATTTTCATGGTTGATAAACAGAAAATCAATCCTTCAACAGTTTTCTACAAAAAGTGAAAGTCATTATGACAAATCAGGTTTCTAAGTTAAAGACAAAATATAGTTATTCTTAAAATCAATTTTATTATTAGAGAATTGTACTACATGATTTCTCTAAAATGCAATTCCGGATTTTTCAAAGTCACATGTAATTTTAAAAATTTATTTCTTTCCATTAAAAATCTAAATTTACTAAAAGAAAACTAAAATTAGTTTTAGGAAAACTCCTTTCTCTCATTTGACAGAATGTTTAAAAAAAAGTTTTAGATTCACTTTTGTCAATTTATTTTTCACTACTTTGCTGAATAAAGCAAAAGGGACAAAAATTATCACCATAGTATTTACAAAATACCACTGAAGTCAATGCTTTGAAATGAATTAACATTCAGTTATAAAGATCTGTTGACTGGAAAACTTATTTTAAACTCTGACTAATGGTATCTGGCTATGCAGAACTGATAATACAAAGACAAAAATATAGGAAACCATATAAAAATATAACTATGCTCTAATTTGGGGGGGAAATTAAGAAAGGTCAGGCTGAAATTAAAGAGGGAGCTCTATTTCAGACAATTAAGTAGCAGATGATGTATTTAAGAGTATAACTGCTATAATCACTGGAAAAACAACTTGTATGCCATTTTTATTAGGCATGTGATTATATCAAAGTAAATGCAGGCAGACTTCAGCTTTCATTAGTTCTGCTAACTAATTTGTGTGATCTTGGACAAGTCAGTAAACTTTTGTTTTTAAGTAAAAATGACGAAACTCAACTAAAAGGGTTATAAAATTTATTTTCCCTCTAAAATGTTAACAATCTGTAAAACTAATAATGCACATTTGAAACCTCCGTGGGTCAAAAATGGAGTATTTAGTTTGCTTGGGCTTACTGCTATTTATCTCCCACTGATGCTGACAATGAACAATATCAACTCTCTAACTTAAATCATCAATTTGAGTAAGAGTATGAAGTTAATGAGATATTTATTGTATTTAGAGTAGATAAACCAAGTAAAGCACCTATGACTTTGGAAGTCATTAAATACTTATAACTCATTATGCTAAAAGAGAATATGATCTTATATTTAAGTAGGACTCAGTATAATAAATGCTATGTATGTACACTGACATAGAAATCTAGCAATTGAACAAAAAAGCAGGCTATGCTAAATATAACATGATCTCACAGACATAAGTGTGGGATAGTTTTTGAGGTAATATCTTTAAAATACATCTTATGTATAATTATTCAAACATAAACATAAATTAGACTTATCTATATGTAGGTGGCTTTCTGTATATCTATTATAAATTAAATGCATATATCGTGTGTGTTCATTATATTCCCATTTAACATCAACTTTATGTATATAATAAATTTTACAAAACTGCACAGAACCTAAAAAGCACAAATTTATATGCTTGTGGATAATTTAACATGAATTATGAAGTAGTATCCTAGATATTCATATTCAGAATAATTTGTTACAGTATTAACTACAACATAGATAACCAAAAATATTATAAAATATAACTATCAAAATTCAGAGTTTTCAGTAAGTAGAATAAGTATATATAAAATCACCAATGACTACCAAAAGTTTCATTTTAGAAGTATAATTGACAATAAAAACTCCACATAAAGGAATATTAATTGAAAAATAAGTATAGCAATTATTTTAAATTAAAATATAGTATAAAAATCTCAATTGAAACAATTCAGTCGAATCAGTAACTATAAAATAATTCTAAAATTATAAAAGTACATATTTTTGCCACATCCAATATATTTAAATTCTAATATAGTTCTAAGAAAAATTTTAACCCAAACTGTTCGGTTATGGACCATCTAAGAGGCTCCCCAAGTAAATACATACAAATTACAGATTTATAAAAATGGCCATCAGAGAGAGAATGCCCAGCCTCTGATACACATCTGTGATTTGTTTTTCAAATAGTTCTGATCTTGGCCAAAGCTGAAGAAACACTAGGCTACTTCTTTTTCTCAAGGAAAGATAGTAATTACATCCCACAGTTGAGGATATAATCTAAGTATTTCATAAAAATACACTTATAAAAACAAAAAAACTTAACTATTTCCCTTATCATAGTTCCTTTTTATTTATATATTTATTTTTAATGGGAAGCATATAAGTCAAATTGGTACTATTTTTTTTCTTTGTGGGTTTTTGAAGATAGTAAGGGAAGGAGCAGAATTGGAAGTATGTATGCCAGAATAAAAATATTTCAACTAATGAATTTCTTTACAATATTTATAAAAAAAGGTTTGTATATTTACAAAATAAGCCTTTTTTTAAGGTTTCTTAAAAAAAATCAGCTTGACCCTTTAAAATTTAGTTTGGATTAAGATTTTGCATTATGTGCTTTTAATACAGTTTCAGCTAATCGCTACTTTTAACTGACAATCCCAGATCCAAATATTCCTAGAAAAGAAATGACCACATCTAAAGAGAACTTGGGTCTGTCTCTATGAAAATGGAACTAAATGGGCAATTTAAGACTCTAGTAAATCATCCAACATAAGATTCATTCAGTTCTACTGTCTTTTCAAAAAGAAAAAAAACATTTGTTTTTCTTCCTAATTCCTTCCCAACTCAAATAAAGCTTTCTCTTCTCTCTTGCCAGGGCATCCATGATAGTGCTTCACAACTATTAATACTGCAAAAATTGACAGTTGAAAATATTCTGCAGAGAAAAATTAAAAGTGTCACCTTATCTACCTTGTGAAGAAGTAAGAAAAAGCGAAACGACTAATAGCTATATCCTCGCTCTCAATACTACCAATACCATCATGAACTAGAATTAATAATAACATCTTTGTAGGTATAGGTATAGGTAGTGCAGACTTAAAGCATTATCCCTTCAGTAAGTAGAAATGCTTGCAAAAAGTAGGTTCTTAAAAAAAGAAACAGAAACAAAAAAGCTCTGAGGGAAATGACAGAACCCTTGCCACTGGCAGTCTGTATGACCTTTGGAAGGATAAAGACAGTTTTCTCCCTGGTTTTAAAAAAAACCCAGCTTTAAAAATTAAAAGGGAAAATAATTTATTTTTATTTTAACTAAAATATCCAGTAACTTATTTTACAAATAAGATTTCTAGCCCACTCATATTTTTTAGCACTTATCACACGAGTCTTAAAATTATATATGCCTAAACATTCTGTATGTGAGAAAAGAGAGGGAATGAGTAATTTCTCAACTTGTCTGATATAGAGGCACTATAAGATATCAACTTTTCTGTGTCACCCAGTACAGCTTTATATATTAATTCTCTCTCATGGAAAGCTTAAATGCCAGGCACATTTTTAAAAAGGACAAACACAATTGATCTTTTCATCACTGCAATCTTCTGAAATAGAGTTGATTGATGACTCCTGGGAACAATAAAAAAAAAAAGATGTCCTGGTTTTCTCAAATTCTTATGTTTCCCTAGTGATTACTAAATAAATGATTAATATGCTGAACTTGCTTATTCTACTTATTTCTCAAAATTCACAATCTAGAACTAAAAAATAAAGATGAAACAGCTATATTTTGTGGCAATAAATTAATGAATAGTTACAGATCACTAGCCTATAAAGGCCCTGTTAAGAGAGGCATAACCTTGGCAAATTCTTAAAATAACAGAAAAAAAATTTTTCAGCCAAAACAAACAAACAATAAAAAATACGCGTATGTGTATGTCTGTGTATGGTGGTTGGGAGTGGGTCAGAAATAAGAACTACAAAGGTAATTCATAGTAAGAGTTGAAGACAATAGACTTTCAATAGAACTTTACTTTGGATAATGGAAACTTCCAACTCTTTTCTGTACTGGATGTTACAAAAATAACATTTTGGTACTTTAAAGCTGCTGAATCTTATTGCAATATTTCTTTTTTATGAAGGCTATATTTTGATCAAATTTGAACTAAAATAGTGACATGAAATTATATCTAGGCTTTTGAAAACCTGAATTTTCTTTGAGGCTTTCCAAAATAATTTTTTAAAGTACCATATGTACATTTTTTAGAAGCAGCTGGCACTTCATTAGACTGAAAACATTCATAGAGGTCATTTCACGAAGCATTTCCTGACCACAATAACAGTTTAATGAAGCACATACCTTTGCCTTCAACTTGAGAGTGATTAGATGCTCTCTACCAGAAGCATCCTCAGCTTTTAACTTGATGGTACTGAAGCAAGAATCCGCATATACAAGGCTGGTGAGAAGAGAATAAAAAGTGATCACACTGGGGAGGACAGGACTGGGGGGAGGGGTGGAGAATGGTAGGATTTGAAATGAAAATATTTGCTATATTCCTATTAATCCATTACAAAATTAATCAGAGGGATTTCTGCATGCCAACCCTTTATGCTGCTATATAGATTTACTGCCGTTAATACACCAGCCTAGTGCTTAATGTAGTCATAGATCTCTGGATTATTTACAATGTGTGTCAAGGCTCATGCTGTGGTCAGTGAGCACTATGTTTCGGTTTTCCATCACTGGAACCTTTGGCACACACAGCATGTTCCTGTCAGCCTCTACTTATGTACACATTAAACTTCCTGTCAAAGTCTTTGATCCATTTATGTAGTTTTATACAGTATGAGACTCTTATGCTTCCTTTATTTGTTTTCTCCATGATGAACTTTTCTTTTATTATCAATAATGTTACTATACAAAAATCTGGCCAATATTAGTTCATACTCAAATTGATCCTCTAAAGAAAATGCTGCATGAGCACAGGTATAGCCTGATCTCCTAACAATAAATTTTCTTTTTCTGCGATTATAGCTTCTGACACTTAACCTGGGCATGCATTCAAGATGACTAATATTTTAAACATATAGCACAAGCACAGTTGTTTTGGCTTTAAGTTGCTCTAAATGCATGAATTTTCTGCAACGGAAACCAATACCCCTTGAAATATATCATTCTGTAAAACTATGGTCCCTTGAGTAGCATAAGCTACTGCCAAAAATGTTCAAATTTAGTAGTATATTTACTAGTGAACTGGGCATGTGGATATTTTTTGACATTTTTACAATACTATTCTCTTGTAAAGATAAAAAGTAGCCTAAGAGTATTGCACAACTTATCACCCAGACTGATGGTAAGACCCATTAGAGTTCAGCACTAACATTAGCCTTCTAACCCAGGAAACATTTTTTTAACATCACTGTATGCTGCTTAGTCACTGGCCTGGTATAATAGTGAAAATGGGTCAATTTCAAAAATGCTGGGCAATAAAGTTGTGGAACACTATTTGTAATAAAAAAATAGATCTAAATCTGAAAAAGGCACATATCTTCAACAACAAACTAAAAAATAAGAGTCTTTATTAACAGAAGAATGTTTATCATAATCTATAAAAACTCTAGGGTCTTAGAAAACAAAATTATTCCAGAAATAATGTTTACTTACACAAAAATGTCAATGATACTATACATAAATGTTTAATCATTAATTTCTTTCAGCTATATCTGTAAGCATCTCAAATTCCCCTACCCCCCAAAATATAGAATATGAGACTTTATCACACATTTATCAATATAATCTAAGTTCAGATATATGGACACATAACTCTTTGAAAACATTAACACTTCAGATTTAAGATGCTGATATAGCACATGCATTTATTTATATCCTCTCTTTACTCACTAAAAAATAAATTAAAAATTTAAAAATGTAGATAAACCCACAGTTACAAAAAGAACAAGAAGGCAATAGCATCAACTAAAGCAAATTTTCAACAAATTTTATAAAAATAAAAAGTGGTTGAGGAACACTGGGTGACAAACACATTAGAAAACAGAAAAAGAAGATCCTGGGAGCTAGATAGCTGGCAAAGAAAGGAAAGGAAGGAAGTCTATAGAATAGAGGGTATGATATATATGAGGAGAAATTAAGGGAATTTTTTTTTAAAAAAAAAAGGAAACCAAAAAGGGAAGGGAAAATTTTAATCTAAATTATAAACAATGAAGCTATGTTAAAATTTTAATTGTTCTACCATTAACTTTTCAATGAAAAATATTTACAGTAAAAAAAATCAAACTGCTTACTAATTACAATTTTTTAAATCCAGCAATAGACAAAGCTAAAAGAATTATAGCTACGGAAATGAAGGTAAATGTATTTAACCACTGCAAGAGGTGACAAAAATTGACAAGTATAATGGGGAAAGAAATGAGAGATTAGGACGACTAAAATTTGTAATTGCTAATTTTAGAGTAAAAGATACATATCATTAATTAAATGGACATGAAAGAAGTTTAAGGAATATTAAATCTAATAGAAGAATAAAAGAATAGTAAAGAAAGGAGATGGTGGTATAGGAACTAAATCCTCTTTAATTACAGTTATCACTATGTAATTCCTAAAACTAATAAATCAAGTAATTTTGAATATAGGCATATCATTGAAAAATATGGAAGTTGTAAGCATGAATATTTCAGAGTATTTGCCTCATAGGATGAGACTGGAGTTTAAAAACGGTGTGGGAAAAGGCTGCTGCTTTGCTTTATAAACCTTAAATCGTTTATAACCATGATGAATATATCCGAAAAGAGAGTAAGAAGGTAGGGAGAGAAAAGAAACAACTATATCACCAACTAGTCCTTTTTGTATTTCACACTGCTGCTCCTCATCCAGATGTTCTTAGACAGAAATAAAAGTTCTAGTCTTTTGTTTCCAGTCACACAAACAAAAGATTATCATCTTTCCACAAAATTGAAGACACGGAGACAAAACATTAGAAAAAAATGTCATGCTCAAAATATAGCTGTGTAGTCAAAATGGTAAGATTAATTTTGTTTAACTTCAAGAAGTCAAATAAAACAGTAAAAACATTTATAACTTTAGGTTACTCTCAGCCTACTTATTTGAAATTAAACATTTTACCTATGTCGATTTCTTTCTACTTTGTTTCAGGAACAGGGAGAAATTCATGATTATTAACACCCTGAGTACATGTGACCTACACTGGTACATGACCTCCAGTACTTCTCATTTTCTTCTTTTGGTAATAGAATCCCTGCCTCTATAGCACCCCTAACTACACCAAGATTAGCAGGGCACACTCCATTCAGCTAGCAATCCTTCCCAGCTGCCCTTGGGTATCAGCCAATCACTAAATTTTGGACTGCAAACAAAAGTGATTGGTATGTGCATCTTTTGGATTATTTTTATTAACAAAATGTTGCCTGACCCTCTCCAGTGCCCCTCTCACTCTCCCTTCCTTTAGACTAGATCTGAGCAATATAAGCCAGCAAAGACCATGCAGACAAGAACAACTCTCTTAGTGCCACTCTGACCACTGAAACAATCTGCAATAATGGAGGTATTCTACATCTGCACTGTCCAAAACAGCAGCTACTTGTGACATGTGGCTATGGAGAACTTAAAATATAGTTATTATAGACACTGAAATTTTAATTTAGTTTAAATATAAATGTCAATAGCCACATGTGGTTAGGAGCTACTATACTGAACAATTAAGCAACAGTAGATAGTCAAGAAACAAATGAAAGAAACCTGGGTTCTTGGATGACCTTGTGAGACAGCGCCACCTGTACTCACTCTTGACCATCTGCCTACCTCTGAACTGTTAAGGGGAGATTAATAAAATTCTATCTTGTTTGAAACACTGAGGATTTGGGGTTCTCTTTGTTAACAGCAGTTTAACTTGTACCCTAACTAAAAGAACATATTTCTATCCATTCACAATAGGAAAGAATATCTTAGTGTTTGAATATCTTAGTGTTTGGTCTATAAAAAAGATATTATAGAGGGGAGAACAGTGATAAGCTCTTACAAGTAATTTTAAAAATCATTCTTAAAAAAGTCTATTTTAAATGTTCTGCTTTATTACTCTGGTGAGTATCTTGATTTAAACAGCATGGAATAATTTTTACTCATTTAAATAAGGTAAATAATTCACTTAAATAATAAATTTTAAAAACTTTCATCATTGGAATGCTCAATATTTTTTAAAGTTGTGAAATCACATTTAAAAGAAGGAGTTTGGGTATTATTACTTAGCTAGGCACATTCAAAATTGACTAAAAATATAAAGCATATATATAAAATCTAAAGAAATAAAATATACCTTTGGCACTTTACTTTGTATTTATCACTTGCTGCATTTCTTTGTAAGTATGCTTGCAATAAGTAAAATGGCACTAAACTTGGCAGTTAAGTTTTATAAACACTTAAAAAGAATACTTCAGCTCAGGGAGATTTTTGTTGTTCTTGTTAATAGCTGAATGTTATCAGTAGAGAGCAGCAGAAGGAATGTGCTTTATCTCTTGAAATAGTGTACCTATTTTGACCAATAGCCTAGTAATATATCTAGGTATATTTACATAGTAATAACATCAAAAGGTAGACTGAAGACCTTCATGGTTTAATAAAACATCAAAGTTTCAAAACAAAAAAAATAAAAAATAAAAATCCAAGTTTCTATTTTTACCACTACTCTCAAGTTTACGAATTAATACTTCAAACCTACATTTCAAAAAGCAACCTCCCTAATTGGTGTCTTTACTTCCTGTCTCTTCTGTACACCAACCTATCCTGCCTTCCATGACTACAGTAATCTACCTAGGTAACTCCTTGCTCAAAAATACTCAATGAGTGTCCATCAACTGCATATAAAGAATCCTTAGTCTAGCAGTAAGACCCTTCAATCTGGCCCTGATATTAATTCTCTTATGTGAGCAAATGATTGACTCAAAAGTCCAAAAATGAGTTGTACATTTCCATCATTACAGCCTTGCCTCCACCAATCCTTCCCTTTTAAGTCTTTCTATATTTCTTCCAAGCTTATCCCAAAACCTACCTCCTCTACGAACCTTCTTAAATTATTTGTAGCTCAAAAGGACCTCACCTTTCTTAAAACTCGCACACTGCTGCTTTTCATGTAAGTTTATTGCTTTTTATAAGGAATGTAAAAGTTTCACACTTCTATATATGTGCCAATGCTCTATGTATTAAATGAACATGGAGAAGCTATTCAGATCGGTTCATGTTTATGCTTCACATGTGTGTTGTAAATAACTGAATGTGCATTGTTTAAATTAGATACTATCAACACATAACCAATTTAGAAAAACAAAATTTTTCACTATTAGATAATTTGCAGTTATTTAATGATTTGGATATAAATGAGGAAAAACTCTCTTATAAAGGTAATTTATTAACGTCTATATTCTTTTGCATTATATAACAAAAGTTACTACTGGTTATAATTAAATCATAACACTAATTAAATCTCTGTGAAACTCATATACAGTCTGACATTTCTGAGTGAACTAGTGTCTCAACAACTTTATAGCTACTTTACACAGGAATTAAACGAGTCACATAACATGTTTCTTTTCAACACTCATTATTAAGTATTATTAGTTTCAATTGAAAAATGAAGAAAATGTGGCTCAGGGAGGTTACGTTACATGACCGAGGTCACACAGCTAATAAGCCAGAATTAAAGTCCTTGTCCAGTTATTGAAATTAATTTAGTATAAACAAGTATTCCATTTACTCCAATATGTTATATAGTTCTTTGAAATTCATTGAGAATTACAGAACATATCATCATCACTGGATCAAATCCATTACTAAAATAATAGGCTTAATTAAAAATCTAACTTAATATATGTTGAGATATATTAACAATCCTTCAGCGGCACAACAAATTAGGTAAAACTCAGATTTCCCAAGACAAATCTGAAAGGCCAAATACCTGAATTCCACTCACTCTGATAAATAATATGCTATAAAAAGGATAAAACCATCTAATCATTTCCCCATTTAATCTCTGAATTAAATGATGCCATATGATTATTAAAACAACCATAAGATGCCGTAGCCCAGCCGTGGGCAAACTACGGCCCGCGGGCCGGATCCGGCCCGTTTGAAATGAATAAAACTAAAAAAAAAAAAAAAAAAGACCGTACCCTTTTATGTAATGATGTTTACTTTGAATTTATATTAGTTCACACAAACATTCCATCCATGCTTTTGTTCCGGCCCTCCGGTCCAGTTTAAGAACCCATTGTGGCCCTCGAGTCAAAAAGTTTGCCCACCCCTGCCCTAGTCGGATTGGCTCACTGGATAGAGAGTCGGCCTGGGGACTGAAGAGTCCTGGGTTCGATTCCGGTCAAGGGCATGTACTTGGTTGCAGGCACATCCCCAGTAGGGGATGTGCAGGAGGCAGCTGATCGATGCTTCTCTCTCATCGATGTTTCTAACTCTCCATCCCTCTCCCTTCCTCTCTGTAAAAAATCAATAAAACATATTTACAAAAAACAACAACCATAAGATAGACTATAAATAAGGTGACTATGAATTTCTTTTCAACTGGGACACTTTTGAAACTGACGGGAGTCAGGATAAAAGGCAGTCATTAATAGGACTATCCTAGGTAAAGTGAGATGTAGATCAGCCCACCTGTAACTCCAGGACGTTCAGAGTACCAAACAGACAATCCTACTAAACCCCAAGGACTCTGTTTAATTCCCATTGTTTTTTATGAGCTACTCTACAAAACAACACAAGCAGAAGTTAACAAAAGCCCATCAAGACATCTTTTTCCATCCCTCACCTCTGTGAAACAGCATAACACTCAAAGTCACCCACAACTGTCATATCATCTTCATCTTTACCCTTTGAACAACTTGCTGTTTTTACTGTGCTTTTTAAGAAGTTTAAACATGTATAGAAATTGTAACAGCAGCAATCAAACTTAAGGCGGCTACTAATTCTGTATCATTTCTAACTTAATTTTTTGTAATGCCTGATCCTATAGAGTTGATTAGAAATACCAAGTATGTAATTTAAAAACACAGCAAGGTCTTCATTAACTTAAAAAGATTTTTCTTTTATTATCAGATTTTATTATTACACTAACAAATCTAAAACTAAAAGATTATTGTTAAGAATGCAAAGGAAATATGGATATATTGACATGGTCTAGAAATCACTGAGATTCTCATAATCCACTTAAACTAATTTGTCATACAAACCATTATGTGTATCATTTTTAAAATATCTATCTATATAAAAGCCTAAGCAACCATCCGACCGTCCAACTGGTAACTATGACGTGTAATGCCACCAGGGGGACAGACGCTCCGACCAGTAGCTATGACGCACACTGACCACCAGGGGGCAGATGCTCAACACAGGAGCTGCCGAGCTGCGGTGACTTGCAGCTGCGGTTCTCGGTTCTCGGGCTATGCACCTGGAACCAGAGAGGAGGGAGACCAATTCCAGGGTGTGTCACCCAAGAACCGCCCTTGTGCAATCCAGGAGCACTCAGGGGATGTGGGAGAGCCGGTTTCAGCCCGATCCCCCCAGGCCAGGCTGAGGGACCCCACCAGTGCATGGATCCGTACACCAGGCTTCTAGTATTTTAAATGAAAAAGCTAGCTAGCTGCTGAAGCAGGGCCTCAAAATGTAGCAATTCTAGTTTGGGGACAGTACAATTCAGGTCTCAGTTTTAGCTCTGAGTGTCCTGAAACCCAGTATTATCAGTGTGCCAAGTATATCTGATTTAAGAATTAAGACACAAAAATAAAACTGATAGGAGATTTTCTTACTTTAGCAATGTTAGACAAATATTGACAAATCTTATTCTTTGGCCTCTCACAATCCATGCAGAAAAATTCTCTTCTGCTAACAGTCTTTATTTGTAAAGCTATGAAACAAATGATTAGGTAACAGCTATATACCTAATTCAAGCATGCATCCTAATCACTATAATTAAACTATCACCTTTCTCAAATCTAAGCCAAGAGATTTTGAAACTGTCTCTCAGGATGCATTAATTTTGCATATGGCCAATTTTATCCATAGTCACACACTGAAGGTACTTGAGGAAACTTTATTGAAGGCTGCATATGAGAGCTGACCCACAGCACAACTCCAGGGAATATCATTCACATACACAAAGCCTGAGCACTGACATACAAGCAGCCTTGGCTGTAGACACTCAATTTATAGATACAAAATTGGGAATATAAATATATATCTTGAAACTTATGCTGAGAATTAAATAAGAATTATATAAAGTGGCTAGGACAGTCAGTGGCATATAACAGCAACTTTATAAATGAAAGTTCCTGTGTGCAATGACCTTAGTCTAAGGTGGAGACCAACATTTATATTGTGATGAAGGTTATGGTAGAGGCATTCATATCCTTATTTTTGCCTTTCACCTATTATCTAAATTAGAGATCTATCCCTTTTTCTGTCACATCACAATATGTATAATACAAAGCAAAAGTCAATACTTTCCTTTCATCTCTAAAACCATTTATTCCATAAAGTATTTTACATACTTGCACTACTTCTCTTTATAACTTTGTTACTAATGGCTTTCAAGAAATCCTATCATTATACTTTATAATACTTATCAGTTAGAATTAAGTACTACTGTGATTATCTACATAAATTTTGACTCTTCTACTAGATTTAAGTTCTATGAACAATCTTAAGTCTTGCCTATGTATCCTCACTCACAAATAATAGTTGAAAGAAAATGAATTATTCAAAAATTTAATATTTAAATTATCAGTGCTTCAACAAATTTTTACTGGAGTTCTCTGAAATATGTCACATTCACAGAGAAAACTGTCTCAAATTCACTTTATCAATATAACAAAACTAGAACCCTTACCTCTTCCCTTTCCACTCCCTTCCTACATCCTTAACTATTTTAAAAACTAAGGTCTTAATATTAAGCTCCTGAAAATAAGTCAAAATAATTTTTCTCTATTCTGTCACCTTACATCCAAAAAATGGCAGGGTCCATGTCATCAATGCCTTGAGACACACCTTCATAACCTCAGTAGAATTGCTATTAGTGCATCTTAATTCATTACTCCTCTTCTCTGTCTTCTTCCTTCCATTGGTATGCTACATCCTATATAATAAAAGGCTAATAGGCAAATCGACCGAACGGCAGAATGACTGGTTGCTATGACACACACTGACCACAAGGAGGCAGATGCTCAACGCAGGAGCTGCCCCCTGGTGGTCAGTGCATTCCCACAGGGGGAGCGCTGCTCAGCCACAAGCCAGGCTCACGGCTGGTGAGCACAGCAGCGGCAGCGCTAAGGATGTCCAACTGCCAGCTTAAAGCCAGCACTCAGACATCCCCCGAGGGCTCCTGGACTGCAAGAGGGCGCAGGCCGGGCTGAGGGACCCCCACCCCAAAAGCACGAATTTCGTGCACTGGGCCTCTAGTTTTATTATAAAAATTCTATCCATCCCAAATCCTATTCAGGAATAACACCTTATCAAATAAAGCCTAATCTCATAAATTAACATTAACCTCAATATCACCATAATAATACATTTAAAATTATAGGTAACATCTATGTCTGGCTAAGATGGAGAAGCTTGCTAAAGACCAAAACTTCCACTGAGAACAACTAGAGTAACCAGATGAAAGAGAAAAGTAAAAAAAAGTATGAATGCATCAAAGAACTGCTAAGGCAACCAGGACTTGAAGGACCAAGGTCTTGAAAGGGGGAATAGAAGAGAGGTGAATAAAAATTTTGCAGTCATTTTTCCCTTTGCCTATTTACCAATTTTGGAACAGAGCACGAGAATGAGGATTTGGGCAAGGTGAGACAATAGAAGACATAGGTGGTAGATATAAGCCTAAATAGATTTGGTGACATCAACAAAATGGCATTCAGAAGTTCTAAAAATTCTCCCCTCTATAATAGCAACAAGAAAACTGACAACAAAAATGTAAACAAAATAAAAATAAAAAAGGCAAATATGTGAGGTGATGAATATGTTAATTAACACAATTGTGGGAATATTTTCACAATGCATATGTATATCAAATAATCACAACGTACATTTTAAATATATTATATTTATTAATTACACCCCAATAAAAGTTAAAAAATAAATTTAAAAAATATGTTCAGTGAAAACATGTAATTTTTTTCACAAATTTATTATTTTACCTTCTAGGTCATTTTTTCAAGATAAAATCCCTTTAATTCATAACCACAATAAGGATCAGACACTCTAATTACAATGAAACACTTTGACTAAAAACAGGTATAAAATAAATTGCTAAAACTGAAAAAATATTAAGTTGAAATATGTAAAAGAAAGACATTTCTAAAACATATTTTAAAATAGACATACTTATCCCAACCAAGAATTCCTATTTCTTCAATAAGGCTTGAGTAGAACAGGGGAGGGGGAGGTAGTGCATGTATTTCTTGTTTATTCTTTAAAGCAACTTCCTGTTTAAAAGAAAAAACATGGATCAGCTGTGGAATGCCAGATGATGAATTGTTAGTACCTGATTACACAAAATAATTTCATAATCTTCTCTGTGCCTAACTAAAGTGTCCATTATTTTTACAGGAAATCCAGCTGAATCTTTCCACTTCTCATAAACAAAAAACAAAAAAAAAAGAGAGAGAGACATGAAAAAGTTAAAGGACTGCACTGAAGATCATATAAAAACATCAATTATTTGGTCAGTGTGGCTCAGTGGTTGAGCGTCAACCCATGAACCAGGAGGTCATGGTTCAATTCCTGGTCAGGGCACATGCCCAGGCGTCAGGCTCAATCTACAGTGTGGGGCATGCAGGAGGCAGCCGATCAATGATTCTCTCTTATCACTGATGTTTCTATCTCTCTCTCCCTTTCCTTTCTTAAATCAATTTAAAAAATAGAATCGATTAAAAAAAGTCAATTATTATACCTTCAACCTTAACTTTAATATTCTCCTCTATTACACTTATCAAAGATAAAAATTAAAAAAAAAATACTCATTCCCAAGGCTTCATTACTCTCTTACTACTCCTGTGGACATGTTTGATAGTAAGTAATATGTACTTTTGAAGAAGAGCCTGAACTCTAAGTACATTGCCTAGACTGATACATCTGTATACCATTATGAATTACCTTACAAACAAAAACCCTTCATTATCACAATAAATACTTATCTGCTAATTTCTTTCTTCATTCTGTAAAACTCCAGACTGGGCAAGTTCAAGTGTTTTGCCATCTGGATAGATCACAATTCCTTTTTCTGCTAGGCTCACCTAAGATAGCTTTAAGATGGTTTATGTTTCTCCAAACAAAACTAAAATTACGTTTTAGAAGCAATACAAACATCACTAGAATTGCTGAGGTTAAAAATTACCAATTACTGCAAAGGTGCAAACCTAGACAAATATCTATAAATTACATAGATGTTCATATGGTCTGAATTATCAAAAGGTATCTAAAAACTAAAGAAGTAAAATTTAAAAAGAAATCTCATAAAATACCAAAACCATATGGAAATAAGCATAAAAATTATGTTTCTAGTAAGTGTAACCCTAATAAAAGGTATAAATTTTAATGCTTTAAGTATATGTTTAATCTATTAGTGCTTATCCTTTTTTTTTTTTTTACAAGGATAAGATACTATCAAATTAAGGTAACACTGGAAAGAAACAGATTTTACAAAAAGTATTTCAAAATCAGAACTATTAACTGGAAGTACTTTAATAAAGTTCTAAATCTGTTTTATGATTTTAAAAATAAAATTAAAAAACCCTGTGAAAGCAGATTTGTAAAGCCCAAAGTATCAATCTAAATTTGATTAGAAGGTAAACTAGAAAACAAGGAGAGTTTTTGTTTTTTGTTGTTTTGTGTGTTTTTTTACAAACTAAATACCTAATGATATCTGATGATAGCCTGATGGTCCATAAAAATATATTTGTATTATTAAGATTATCCATTTCTAAAAAAAAAAAAATGTCAGTACAGTTCCTGTACTTATACATATAACACCTATACAGTATTTCCTTTGAAATTTCTATTTTTATTCAGAAATATTAATTATTGCTATCCACAAATATTGACAGTAAAAAGAAACTTGGATAATAATAAAAACAGTATTTTAATCCTAAATTTATATTTGTAAACTCTGCCTTCTACCTGAGGTCAGACATGTTATTCCTATTCCAGAACCGTAACAGGAAAAAAGCAAAAGCAGAAAAGCAAAGCATTCTTCGTGGAGAAGGAAGCAAAGGTATGTAGTAGAAAGAACACAGAGGATTTACACACAGAGTTTTAAATCCTAACTTGAATATTTCCTAGTTTTTAGGTCTTAGGCAGTTAATGACTCGGCTCTAAAATAGGAATAAAATAACCTACACCTCATACAGTTTTTAAAAATATGGGTAATTGTTCATTTATAAAATGCATGCAGAACAGCTACTATATGCTCAGTTATTACTAGGAAACTCCATGGAAGATTTACAAAATTTCCTGAACAAATTCAGTAACTACTGATTTCAGTGAGGTATCAATACTTTTATCAGTTATTGTATTATAGGAACCCTATTACTAACAACACACCTCAACAAATAAAGTAATAATTCTTCCATTCTTAGATACACTGTCATAAGTGTGTAGTAATATCACCAATACTGCCCATATTTCTTTAGAAAGCTAAAAAATAGGATCTCATGTTATTCAGAATTACAGTAATAAATGTACTAAAGAGAATATTGTGACTCAGAGATTAACTCAATATTTTCAGTTTTGAATTAATGATTATTTCTTCAAAATTAAATGACCAATAGACCAAAAATAATAATTACGTTAATACTGGAAACCAAGATTTTCACAGTAAGATATAAAAGATACAGGAATTACAAAAGCAATCGAGACTTATGGTAGCAGTGTTAGAAAACAAATACCTACCAAGACCATCTTCAACTCCATCATAAAGCTCAGTAGATCAGGAGAGTGCTTCATTCTCTAGATCAAAATTACATTTCCAATTAATTTCACTTGTACAATGAATATCCCATTCATTGAAACTAAAATACATGTTTATGTGAATGTGAATACATATTAATTATATTTACATCATAAAAGTGTAAGAATTGAAGTATTAGTCAACATCCTTACTATTCCTACGAATTTCATTTTGAAAGAGTAAATCAGAGCTTAAAATCTACTCTGGTGAGATATACTGAACTGAGTAGAATGTCACCTAAAACCTCACATACTCTTCTCTTCCTTTAATACTGATTACTGACAAGTTTAACAAATCTAGCAAACCACATCATTATTTTTTAAGGGAGTGAAGAAAGTGGAAATAAGCACATAAAATATAAAAATCATGCAAATCTATACAACTAAAAAAATCTAGTTAGAGCAATTAATTAAATTATAATACTGTCTATTTTTATTTTTATTGACCTTAAAGATTACCTATAATTATTATTTTTATCCTTTCACAATTAACCCATATTAATTCAAAAGGAGTCAATCTTTCAATAAGATAAAACTAATATAACAAAATGGCAAAAGTAAAACTTCAAAAGTAGAATGAGTATTTAAGAATCACTATTCCATTTCTTAGAAATCATTCTTAAAATAAAATAACTATACAATAAAAGAAAGCAAAAAAATAATTTAAAATTGTTTTCTTAGATAAAATTCTTTATCATTTCTCTGCTTGAATTCAAAATATCATATTTTTGCTACTTTTTGTGATGCACTGCACTACAGTCACACAGTTCTAGACAGTCAATATATGAATTTGTTCACTCTCTTTCGAGACAAAAATAATAGTCCAAGATATTTTAGCAATGTATGAGACATAAGATTCACATTTTACCATAACTTTGAGTGGGTTCATGTTTTAGAACAAATCTTTGATTTTCCCTTCTTCTATACAATATCTTTCCTTTCCTCCCCACCCCCCACCCCCAATTTAGTAGAAATGAGTAATAAGTTATATGCATGGTCTACAAACTACAGTCCAAAGGTTAAATCCAGCCCAATGCATGCTTTCGTAAATAAATCTGTACTGAAATGCAGCTAAGCCATTCCTTTACCTCTTGTCATGGCTGCTTTGCGCTAAAGGGCATAGTTGAGTGGCTGTAACAGAGAACTTACCGTCCACAAAACCTGAAAAATTTACTATCTGGTCCTTCACTGAAAAAGACTGCTGACCCCCTGACCCATATTTACTAGTTAAAAATGATACAAAGAGCCCTACCCAGTTTGGCTTAGTGGATAGAGCGTCGGCCTGTGAACTGAAGGGTCCCAGTTCCGATGCCTGTCAAGGGCACATGCCTGGGTTGCACACTCAATCCCCAGTAGGGGGCATGTAGGAGGCAGCCGATCAATAATTCTCTCTCATCATTGATGTTTCTCTCTCTCTCTCTCTCTCCCTCTTCCTTCCTCTCTGAACTCAATAAAAAAATGATACAAAGAAAGAATATTGATATTCATCTGGACTTGGAATAAAACAAAGACTCAACTAATATTGGGTTCTACATAACCAACTGGAGGGCAGAAAGGAGATTAAGTAATTGGGACTTTTTCTAGGAACCCTCTTGGTGAATTGGTAAAGAAAAAAAGAGATCTTATTATTATACTTAGTCTTTATTAACAAGATTTTTAGGCTTTTTAAATATCTCAATAGGTTCACTTCTTAAACTTTAATATATAATATAAATAGTCACAGGGGATAGGGAGGGAGCAATGGGAAAAAAAAACAGAAGAAATGATTTAAGCATCCCCTTGAAAAACTGCTGTAATTATACTGCCAGCAATTACAGCCTACATTCTACAAATCAAATAGTTTATCTCCTATTATTCTTTTTGGTTCAGTAATGCTTTATGTGAGAGTTTCTGTCATTGTCAGTTATCATAGATAATAACCTGCCTTTTAGATAGAGAAAATATAAGAGGGAAAAGCATAAAATTAAATGCATTTCTACTTAATTTATTTTTCTACAAGAGGCATTTCATTATTTTCCTTTGCTTTAGTAACAGTGATTTTGTTTTAAAGTTTCTTTACTCTTTAATGGAATTTTCAGGTACAGTAACCTAAACATTAAGAATAACTAAACCAGGGTACAGAGGGTGGGCAAAATGGGTGAAGGTGATCAAAAGGTACAAACTTCCAGTTACTACTATACAATAATTTTAAAAAGAATAACTAAATTAATCCTGCCTATATCTCACTAATGTGGCCTTTAGAGCTACTCCTATTATGTCCACATACATGATCCTAAGTGATTTCCACACCTTTTCTGTTACTAATCTAGAACTACAATCCCATTTTTGTCACAGATATCCTACAACTCCTAAATGGGTCCTGGCATTCCTTTATTCCACCACTATTCAGTCTTAGCAGAAAAAAATCACTCAAAAAGTGATGGATATGGATAAGGGTGAATGTATTTGAAGACCCTGAAGTCTCAAGGATGGAAATCTTGAACATAAATGCTGCCCAGAGATGTGCTAAGGATTCTGAGACAGAAAAACACTTTACATAATGTATAGATCCTTAAAATATTTCATAGAGATGAAACCTACAAAATTTAGCAACTAGTTTGTTACAACATTCTGCACAGTAAGTCTTTAAAAAAGAGTAAACTTAGTAATTTCTTACCCTTGCTTAAACATAAACCTTTTAAAGGACTTACTTGTTGTATTATTTGGTGGTATCCACAAAGTATTGTCCTCAGCTTCCAACTACATAGTAATCTAAAATTTAATGGAATAAAATAATGTGTTAATTGTTCAGAATAGGAAAAAACTTACATGTATGCTAACAAAAACAGGCATGAGCATAGAAAAGAATGACAAACATAATTCTGAAAAGTTAATAAAATTTTTACCACTTATAAAGTTCAAAGTCTTCAAACTTACAGTACTAATTTTATTTCAAAATATAAATAACTGCAATCAATAAATGACAGGCAAACAGTACACCTTTTTTAAAACATAGCAATGTTATCTATTGAACCAAATTCTGCTTCAAGTAGGTTAAATAGAACCAACAGTTTAGATCTTAATATACAGAACTTATATTTGAGAAAGTTTATGTAGCAATATAATCTTCAAATTCCAGAGTAATATAACTAAAAGGATACAGCCTTTTAATCACGTTAGTGATAGTTAATGTTCATCTATCTACTGGATCATCTCAGCTGTGCTCTCCACATTGTTAGGCAAGTAACTCTTCTAGGAAGAGATTTAACTTACCTAGAAGTAGGGGGCCTAAGTTTTCCCAGCATTGGCCACTCCTTTTCTTCAAAATAGTTTATACTGTTTACATTTCCTTTCCACCCACTCATCATCCACTCTAAAACCCAATACACCTGTCTTGTGTCTACATAAAACCTAATCATTTCTAACATGATCCCTTTGCAACACTCAGGACTATTAACCACCCCTTCCTTAAGTCTCTCTTTGTTTGGCTTCAGTTTTTCCCCTTACTTTTCTGGTCAATCCTTAGTCTTCCTCCAAGGTCCTCTATATTTACCAGTCCTTTAAATGTGGTATACCCTCACTGGCTTTCTCTTTTCACCCCACACATGCAGCGCTGAAGTCTATCCGTACTCAGAGCCCCAAACCCCATGCCTACTGTGAATTCCACATGCATCTCCATTCCAAGTCTCACAGTGGAATTAACACACCAATACACTACTACCTACTAAATAGCCTCTCTTGATTATTTCACAACTGATATGTCTTAAAACAATTTCTCCATCAATTCCCTCTTCTCTAGCTTAGTGATCCAAGCCAGGAACTTGGAAAGCATCCTCCATTCCTCTTTCCCTCTTATTTCCCACTTCTAATCAATCACAAAATCCATCAATTCTACTTGTAAATGCCTCCGGAGTCTTCCTTACCCCCTACCACTAGAGATATTTAGGAGCAGAAATGAGATTTGGGGTGCTACCTAAATTTCTAGTCTCATCTCTTGACATTCCTTGACAGGCTGTCTGTACTAATTCTACTTCTTTTGTATTCTACCTTTCTACTTCAGTTCAATACTTGTTAGTGAAATTTACACAGTTGCTGTTTACTGCTTTAAATAAAAAAGAAAATTAGAGAATTAATGTGTCACCTTTGAAAAGTACTTCAGCACCAGGGAAAATAATTTATAAATGCACAATGATCTGGGAAAATCAGAAATGACTAATAAGCATTTTAGGTGAAACTCTAATGACTGAAATCAGTTTATAGCAGATTAATTGACTAACCATTCCATAAAAATGCAAATATAGAACAAAATATATCACCTTGCATTCTTGAGCTGCAAATCTTCAGGCAACAATATTTTAAGATGGAAGTCTCTTCCCTGTGGAAAATATTGAAAAGGTTCAAATTTTCACCTTTCATTTAATGTTACGAGTTTCACTTAATTTTAGAATCATATAGAAAAGGCAATGCTTCCTTTATTTTCTAAACGGTATAAACTTCATCCAAATGTTTATACCTATTAAAATATAAGCAACATAATATTGCATTTGAGGAAAAATAATTGGCCAAAACTTTGTAATTACTGGGAAATCAAACCACTAAAGTTGTTTTCAAAGAGACAGTCATTCACATAAACATAAGAGTTATAAAAAATTGTTACTGTAGACAAAGATTTTTAAATGTTATTTCTTGGGAAATAAATGTATGAAAAAGAAAATTCCTTCAAATTGCTTTGAATACAGAAGAAGTCATAATGTTGATAAGTAAAATAAGAATATGTAATATATTATAGGCATATTTCCAATGTTCTATATTTTATAAAATAAAAATATATTTAGTTAAATAATCTAAATATACAAACATCAGAGAAATATTTTCATAAATCAGAATGTATTTAATTCTCCCACATTTGCAGATAGTTAATTGCTAACATATTACATTACTTCTTTCAACTTACATATTCACTAGCTATACATTTGAATATATAAAATTTTACTCAAGAGTCTTTCTTTCTAAGGAAAAAGGGACTGTTCTCAGAAATTTATTCAGTTTTACTTTCTTGAGAAAGTGGATGAGTAAGCAGCTTAAACTTTGTAACTTAAATAGGATAATACACGTGAAATCTGAGCAAAGGTAGGCAGAAAAGGACAAACAGAATTATAATCTTTTACTCCAACACTATAAAATGAAAAAGAGTAATAAAATTCTCGAAAAACAATTACCACAAGAATTTTAGCACAGTCTCCCTCAAAGCAGTTTCAAAAATAGAGGAACACAATTAAATGTACCCCATAACCTTTACTTTCATGGTAATATTACAGTTCTGACTTTCATTACATTTAAATGTCGTTTAAAAAAATGAAACAAAATGTACTACTGACCTTTTCAAAAGGTCAAGTAACAATAATTCACTATTTCATTAAAGCACTAAAAGGTATTATGTAGTAACTTTAACCTAACTTTATAGACATCCCACACATAGGTGTAAGAACAATCTGGAATTCAAAATTTACATGAAAAATAGTAAAACTTCTCTACTGCTCTGTTATCTGAAAGAATAAAATCCCAAAGTCCCTTATTTGCAAAATCCAGCCATTTTAAAAGGTCAAATGTCATGTCACATGCCATCATACGTTTCTGATTAAAGAAAATATCCAAATTAGCTTTTTTTTTCTTAATTGCTCTCAAAAAGCAGATTTTTCCAGGCTTAGAGGAAACAAAAGTACTGATAGTTGCCTAAATGCCAACCTCTCCACACATCCTCCCAAAACACTATATAGATCAATATTAAGAACAACAACAACAAAAGACAGAGAACACTAAATTTCAAATTACCTGCAGAAAAAAATATATAGATCACTTTCAGTTTTTTCCGATCTGGAACTCCAACAGCAACTCCTTTTAGACAGCTAGGGGGTTCAGAAAAAATGCATGGAAGAGAGAAGAGGGGACTGGACCAAGTACAAAAATAATCCTATATAATAAAACCCTAATATGCAAATTGACCGAACAACCGGTCACTATGATGCGCACTGACCATCAGGGGGCAGACGCTCAACGCAGGAGCTGCCCCCTGGTGGTCAGTGGGCGCCCATAGGGGGAGCGCCGCTCAGCCAGAAGCAGGGCTCACTGCTAGCAAGAGCAGCAGGGTGGCAGGAGCCTCTCCCGTCTCTGCGGCAGCGCTAAGGACCCCTCAGGGGATGTCCGACTGCTGGCTTAGGCCTGTTCCCGAGGGGCCCACACTAAGAGAGGGCACAGGCCGGGCTGAGGGAGCCCCCCATCACCCCCCCCCCCAGTGCACGAATGTCGTGCACCAGGCCTCTAGTAGGTTTATATTCCTCTAAAATATTGTTGGATGTTGGTGTGGGGAAGCAGGAAGACATTTAGGGTGGGAGATTTGGTAGAGAACAAATTCCCTCCTACTGGTTTTAGTTAAGATGAATATATTCTATTCATTTATTGTGATCCTTTTAATGAAGCATAATTAGAATCACTCATATCCCTTTTGTGCTAATGTATTGAGTTAGATTTGGGTTAGCTGACTTGAAACAAATACTAATAATAAATAATCTGGTAGATCAAAGTATGGTAGAACACTGACTACAGGTAAGAGACTAAACATGAACACAAAAGGCAAGGGGTTCATCTTAGAAAAGAAATGTAGGAATAGAAGATGGTAAAAAAGCAGGGAAGGTAATACTTTGGAAACTGGGTGCTAGGAGGAAAAAACAAGAGTGGCAAACTTAGGATCTTATGTAACAAAATAGAAACACTCAACTCCTCCTCTTAGCACTACCAAAAACATCATCCATTAAATAAACTGTACTTTGCTTCACTGAAAGAACAGTGTATTTCTGAACTAAGAATTTTATAAACTACTAGAGGCCCGGTACATGAAAATTCATGCACTGGAGTGGGGGGGGTCCCTCAGCCCAGCCTGCCCCCTCTCACAGTCCGGGAGCCCTTAGGGGCAGGAGGCAACCGGGTGATCAGGGGAAGGCTTCTACCCATTATAAAAAAAAAAACAAAAAAATACAGGATTTACCTTCCCACATTAACTAAAATGTTGGACAAAATATGTATGAAACAATGATTTGTCAGAGATCAAACAATAGGCATTGTAGGACAGTGATCCTTGAAAGAAGGGAAACAAATGAGAAAATCTCTATAGTCAGCCATATGGCCTGGAGACTTTTCAGGCTGCAGGGCAAGGATGAAGAACGAAACAGAGCCCAACATTCTCCCTGACTTAAGAAGACAGGGGTGAATTAGGGGAGGTAAAGGTATGTAGGATTCTAACTACATACTACAGTGGTATGGTTTACCCGGCCGGCACTGCACCAACGAGGAAATACATGGGGAAGAAGGAACTACAGAGAAAACGAGAACTTCAGAGGATTCTTCCAAAGGAGTCTTTAGCTAAATAGTGATTGCTGCATGGATGTGAGAAAACCACCCAAAGCTAGGCAACCATGAGAATGGAGCATGCAAAACAATCTTGGAGCTCACACAAGGTTGAGCTTGTTCCCATCGAAGTGGAAAACCTTGTACTATTAAAGCCAACAAATACAAGTGTTGCCTCAGTGATAGAGCCAAAGTCTGTTCTTTTTCTGCCTAACAAAGCTTAAAAGCAAACCTTGAAAAGATCAAACCATTTCCAAGTAACTTAACTGCTGCTTAGAACAAATCTCAAGAATATTTAAGAGAATAAATAATATCTAGCACACCACAGGTAGAATGCACAATGTCTGGCATTCAATCAAAATATACCATGTAGCAGAGAAGCAGGAGAATAAGATTCATAATAAAAAGAAAAATCAAGAGAAATACAAAAATAACAGATGATTGAACTGCTTTAAAATTCTTACTTTGAATTTATATTAGTTCACACAAACACTCCATCCATGCTTTTGTTCTGGCCCTCCGGTCCAGTTTAAGAACCCATTGTGGCCTTAAAAGATAAAAAAATGCATATACAATGTCTAAGATGATAAATATGCTAGATGTATTAACAGATTAAACCTTGCAAAAAAAGATATTAGTGTACCTGAAACACAGAAACAGAACATCCAAAAACAAACAAAAAACAGATTTTTTTTTAAAGCAGACCATAAATGAATTATGCAACAACTTAAATTGGCCTATCATGCATGTATTTGAAGTCCCCAATACAGGTAAGAGAGAGGAGGAAACAAAAAAAATTTTGAAGAAATAATGGCTGAAGTTTTTCCAAATTAAATGAAAAAAACTGCCTCATAGACCTAAAACAAACAAACAAACAAAAACTGCACAAACTCTGTGGAGGGAAAACATAAATAAAACTACACCAAGATAAGAAGAGAAACCTTAAAAGCAGCCAAAGGAAAAATAACATACTACTAACAAAGATAAGAAAAAAGAGTTCTCATAGAAAATACAAGAAAGTGAAGTGACATATTTAAAGCACTAAAAGAAAAAAGTCAACCTAGAATCTTATACCCAATGAAAGTATCTTTCAAAAAATCCAAATAAACAATTTTTTAGACATGAAACACTAAAAGAATTAATCATCAGCAGACATGCACTACTTGAAATATTAAAGAAAGGAACTCAGGAAGATAGTAAGTGAAATCAGATGGAAATCTGGTATACAACAGAGTGCCAGAAATAGTTAATATACAAGTAAACATAAAGACTTCTCTTATTTTTCAAAAATCTCTTTAAAGGATAATTGAGAGTGCCAAAGCTGTCAATTTGAACAACAAAGAAAATAAGAATGGATTACAACCCAAAGTATAAAATAATTTTAATGAATCCATACTGTTATAAGTGAATTAGTAAATGGGAGAGTTAAGCTAATCTCTCATGCAGAAGAATCAAATAAATTATGTACACACTCTACCTTAAAAGGGTAACTCCCCACTCCCTAATGGGAGCTGCTCATAGTGACTTCCTCTCAAAACAGTACAGTATGGGGGAAGGAAAAGAGTATACTATGGAAGGGGGAAGGAAAAGAGTATAGTACGCGCGCGTGTGTGTGTGTGTGTGTGTGTGTGTGTGTGTGTGTGTGGAGCGGGGGTGGGGGGGGCAGAGGGGCAGAATAGTAACTTTCTAGTAGATAAAACAGACAAATGCCACTTCAGCCAAATGATCAAGGTCAACATCAATGGTAATATATCACATTGGTAATCTGTACCCTTAATATGACGTGATGAAATGGTACTTACACTGTGATGTTCCTCTCAAAAACCCATAACCTCAGTCTAATCATGAGAAATCCCAGTAGAGTATCCTACAATAACCTTGACGGGTACTTCAGAAATAGTGAAAAATCAATGATATCAAAAGTAGGTTCTTGAAGAGATAATTTCAATAAAATGTATAAGCCTCCATCCCAATGCATCAGAAGAAACACAAAATACCATTATCAGTATTGGGATTGGAGGTATCTATAAAATATGCCCATAATTTCTTTGCTACTTCCACCATTAAGTGTTGGTGCCTCAATTCTCTCCTTTACTATGGGCTGCATTTGTGACTTGCTTCTAACAAACAAAATAAAGCTGAGTGAATATGTGTTAACATCAGCGGCTAGGGGAGAAAAGGCACTGTGCAGCTTTCTGCTTGATCTCTCTGTCCCATTACTCACTAGTTAGCCAGGGGAAGCTAGCTGCCATGCGTCATTACAGTCAAGCAACACTGCAGAGGCCCATGTGGTGAGGAACTGAGGCCTTCCTAACGGAGAGCAGTAAAAAACTGAGGCCTCCAGCCAATGGCTATGTGAATGAGCACTCTTGGAAGCAAATCTTTCAGCTCTAGTCAAGCCTTTAGATAACTGACATCCTGGCCAACATCTTCTGCATAGGAAACACTGATCCAGAAACATTGGCTAAGTCACTTCCAAGTTCCTGATCCAAAGAATACTGAAATAATAAATGTGTTATTTTAAGCCACTAAGGTTTGAACTAATTAGTTATGCAGCATAAGATAACCAATAAAAAGAGCATCATTACAGAGCCTAAAGACATTAAAATGATAAAATGGAATATTATAAGTAACTTTTAAGCCAATAAATTTTAAAACCTAGATGAATGAACAAAGTCCTTGAAGGAAACAAACTATCAAAGCTCACTCAAGAGGAAGGGAATAATCTGATAATAGAGAAAGCACCTTCTTTCAATCAATCATGAATTTCTCTCTCTCACATACACAGGATCAATAAGTTCCACAAACTTTTTACAAACAATATGATCTAATCACAATGCAATAAAACTAGAAATTAGTTAACAAAATTAAAAAAAGACCTTCCATGATAAATTTTGTAAAATCTTCTATTAAGCAGAAGAACTAAAATTTAAAATTACAAAAGTTCTGAAAAATGATATATCACTACATGTCAGCATCCATAGGATAATTTTAACAGTGATAAGAGGAAAATTCAAAGCTTTAATTTAAAAATGTATATCAATAACAGTGTGCTTTCACTGGCCAAATCTGGGACAATAAAAACATAAAAATAAGGGACGCAATGATGATAACCCATTAAATAAATTATTTTTAAAATCCATGAGACCATTATGATATAAATAAATTGTAAAGAAGGGAAAGCTATTCCTTATCATAGAATGCCAGTTAATAAAGACATGATAGAGCTAAAAAATCATTTGGCAACGATCACAGTATTAACTGACTCAAACAAGAGTCAATAATGCTACAACTGGGGTGTGTGTGGTGAAAGTTTAATGTTTCAGCTCCCTAAAAGGACTTATTAATTGCAAAGGAATAACTGGAAGATGCCACCTTAAACAGGAGATCAGAGGTAACATTATCAATAACCAGACCCACTGATATAAATACCTTGAAAAGGACACAACATTCTTCCTGGGGCATTTCTGCCAAATTGCATAATCTGAACTTGAAAACATCTGTGAAACCCAAATTGAGGGGCATTCTACCTAATAACTAACCTGTCCTCTTAAGAAATGGCAAGTTCATGAAAACCAAAGAAAGACTAATAAACTCTTTCATGTTAGAGACAGCTAAATATGAGATCTCACATCATCAGATGGTAGGGAGCTAAAATAATGTAATTGCAACATTTAAAAAAAAAGTTGAAAACAGACTCCAGATTAGATAGTGGTTATTATATCATGTTCACATATCTTGATTTTGAGAAATGTATTGTGGTTATGTATGTGTGTGTGTCACTGGTCTCATGAAATATACCTAAAGTATTTAGGAATAAAGGGGCATTACCTCTGCAACTTAATCTCAAACTGTTTGGCACCTGCCACTCTTACAGGCAAAAGTTTCATTTAGCAAGTGATTTTGATAATTCTCTCAATATTTGTTTATGTTATAAGTAGTCTTCAAAACATATGGTAATTCCTAGCATATAGCCCCATCCTCAAAAAATACATGTGCTGGGGAGGGGGCATGATGTTGGGCATAATGGTCAGGGAGCAAAAGTCTACACTAATTCTAACCTAAGGGATCTGGGTGCAAATGCCGAGGGGGAAAACCCAGGCGTGGAATCAGCCTGAGTTTAAGGGGTTCTGTTGCAGTCATGGAAAAGGAACTAATCCTCTCCATTTTCCCACGCCTTGACTTATTCAACTAAGAAACAGGAATAATTATTTTTCCTAAATGTCTGCCTCCAAGGGCAGAGGTTAACACCGAGATAGTGTACTTGGAAAGCGCCCTGTAAACTTCAAAGCCCTACAGGTATGTCTCTATATGTCCTAACTCCACCAGGGAGGCAATTTGGGAATCCGCCAGCACAATTAATTGTGTGGTCAAAATCCCCTACAAAATATCACACATAGATGGTCGGGTGCACGCGACGTGACAAGAGGGCAGAAAACAAGGTTTTCCTCCAAAATGTTCTTTCTACAGGAAACACCGATATGATGATGAGCAGGGATGCCCGTGAACGGCCGCCAACCTTCCTGGGTGCGGGTGGCGTGAGAAGAGAGGGAGGCACACAAATTCCAAAAACTGAGAGGAGTTTGAATGAATGTGGGACAGCCACTGACTCAGGGAGGAGGCAACCCAGAGAGGGGAGGGCCGAGGGGCGTGGCCATCTGTCCCGCCCCGCCCCCAGCCCGCTCAGGCCCCGCCCCCCCACCCCGTTCAAGTTCCGCGCGCGGGTCTCCAGACGCCTGGTCCGGCGCGGGGTCCCTGTCCCGGGCTTCCGGCGACGGCGGCGGTTCTCCAACCTCTAGTGTCCGGCGAGTCGTTACGGGCCGTCAATCTCCATTCCCGTAAGTCGGCTCCTCACCCCCTCGGGTCAGACTCCCAGGGGCGGCACTGCGCCCCGAGAGGGAGGCTCTCCTAGCGAGAGAGCAACACCGGGCAGTACCTGAGCAGTAATGAATCCTTCATACACGGTTTTCGCTCGGTTCTGGGGCAGAAGCAACGGGAACTGGCGCAAAAGGCTCGCTTCCGCCGCCTCCATGGCTCCCCGTCCGCGGAGCCTCAGGGGGCTAGTCGGCGGCCCGGCACTGCACATGCGCAGTCCCGCCGGCGTCAGGGCGGCGGGAGGCGGAAACCCGGCCGTTGGCGGGAAAAGGCTCGAGGATTCCACGGGCGGAAATGAAAGTCTCCTGCGAGCGGGACCACCTGGGCATGAGCGCAGACGCGATAGAGGGGGCTCGTTAGGAGACTGCATTGGCCCCAACAGGAGGCGGAGGGAAGATGGTGCTCAGCTTCACAGGGCTCAGTGAACACGATCCTTCCAGCCCTGATGGTTGCAGGAACCCGTCCGGTGGCTTCATTTGGTGTTATTGAAATGCTGCTACAACTTTGGAGGTGCATTCCTCCCAATAACCCCCATAGTACACCATGGTTTACCCGGAACCGCCTCACCTCCCCTTTCCACCATCATCAGTCTCCCGGTAACCTGCCAGCTCTACAGGGCCTCCTGGATGCCCTCGGCATACAGAATAGGTATATCCTTCTCTACGGAATAATATTATGCAAGGCAATGTATTCCATTCCATTTAATATAGCATATGCAATATATTGCAGTTCTGTGGCTTCACAAGTTGAATCCTTGTTCTTGCATTTGAGAGACACGTAAATATCTATGTACTGATCCAGACTGAAGTCAACACCAGGCTGAGTTCTGATACACTGCACTCACCAGTATCTAAGGAAAACACGAGGAAAGATAACTGATGCACTTGGTGAACCAAAGTTGGGTTTGTTTGTTTTTTTAACATTCTATGCATTTTTCTAACTTAGGAATGGTAATCATCTATTCCCTTTTACTAAGGATTGGTTAAGTAAGGGACTTACTGATAGTTACTGCATGGTTATTTGTTAATCCAATCAAAGCAGCACATTTTGAGCCCTGGTATTTGCAAAACATCACTGTAATATGCCAAAGCTGTGCAAAGATGAATAAGATACATATACCCCCTCCCCTCTCTATTGCCCTCCAAAGGGAATCAGACTGCTCAAAGAGTCTTAAAGTTTGACAAATGTGTCACAATATTCTGGGTGATTAGGGATAAATAAGAATGCTGCAGCAGTTAGATGTTAATTGCACTAAAACAGTGCTTCTCAAAATGTGATTCTGCAACCAAGAGCATCAGCATCCCCTGGGAACCTTATAGAAATTCACATTTTCACCCCTCTATCTCAGACATAGAAAATCCCAAACTCTGGGAGTGGGACCCCACCATCTGTGTTTTAACAAGCCACTCCAGGTGATTATAGTGCACGCTAAAGTTTTTCGCCCAGGACTGTGGTTCTCAACCTTGGCTGCACATTAGAATCACCTGGGAATCTTTTTAAAATCCTGATTTCTGGGCCCCATCCTCCGGAAATTCTGTTTCTTTGTTATGGGGTGGGGCCACAACATTAGTAACAAAGAAACAGAATTTCCAGAGGATGAGGCCCAGAAATCAGGATTTAAAAAAGATTCCCAGGTGATTCTAATGTGTAGCCAAGGTTGAGAACCACTGCCCCAGGAAACCTCTAGCCTTTGTTCAAAGTTCTCAGATGCTACCGCTTTGGGGGAACCTTTTTTACCTGCTGAAAATTATCCCTTTCCCTAATTGCTTAGTATGTTTTCTGGTACATTGTAAGTGCTCATTAACTATTTACTAAATTAAATATCAATTAGTCCTGTGAACAAAGTAAAAGCAAATATTCCAGGTGAGGGATGGGGAAGGGCAAGATGTGAAGGTGAGCAGATAGGAAAGAAACATCAGAAAGTGTGTCATATGGTGACAGTAGATATTTGGGCTTTTGTAGAGTTATTAATGATGCTTTTGTAAATCTGGGAACTGATCTGATAGACTTAACTTTTAGAAAAACTTCTTTAGAAAAGCTTTTAGAAAAACTTTTAGAAAAGCTCTGTAGAGCATGACTAGAGTACTGGTAAGATCAATTAGGAGATGATTACCAAAATCCAGAGAAGATGCTAAAGAAATACTTATGAGAAATGATATTAAGGAGGTGGAGAACTTGCCTCTCAGCCCTCTTTTTTAAAAATATATTTTTATTAATTTCAGAGAGGGAGTGGCAGAGAGAGATAGAAACATCAATGATGAGAGAGAATCATTGATCAGCTGCCTCCTGCTCCCACCCCCAACCCAGACTGGGGATCAAGCCCACAACCTGGGCATGTGCCCTGACTGGGAATCGAATGGTGACCTCCTGGTTCATAGGTTGATGCTCAACCACTGAGCCACCTCAGCTGAGCTCTCAGCCCTTTTTTGACATCTTCTCTTCATCCAGTTGTAACAGTTGTGGTACCTCAGTGCTTATTACTGGTCCCTCTTCTCAGTATACCCTCTCCTCTCAGTAATCCTGCGTAGTCTATGAATATTAAAATCCACCACATACTTATGACTTCTATGTGTATCTTTCTCACCCCACTCTTCAGATTTGCATACCTACTACTACAAGTTATTTCCACTTCAGATGTCTAATTGCCATCCAAATTGTTTGTGTCAAAATGGACCTCCAAAATATGGCCAATATATAATTTCTAAAGAAATAATTGACTTAGGCAATAAGCACCAATAGATTCTAAAACCATAATATGAAAGATTATCATGATATAAATATTGACATAATGAAAAATTATCAACTTAATAATGGTGGGATCAGGCTATCACCACCTGACACCTCTTTAGTTAGAAGCTAGATAGCCACACATTGTCAACAGATGTTTGGCAATAAGAAGTACAACACCAAAAATACTTGACATAAATCTAATGAAGCTTTTGGATGTAACTTCCAGTTTCCTGGTAACACAGGAACAAGCTAAACGACATCAGGAGGACAAGCAGGCAAATCCAGAATGTCAAGTATACTACAGGACAAATGAACCTATTTATTTGTCTAGTTGATAAATAGATGGGGTGGGGGGGAGACAACAGGAGGGAAAAGGACTGTTCAATTTTAAAAGAGACTTAGGAAACATTAACATTCAAGAGCAATATGAAACTTTGAATACTGAACAAACCAATTGTGCAAGCATATGCAGTGGCCCTGGGAAAGAGAGATTTCTGGGTGGTGAAGTTTTGATAATGGTACGAGACTGATAAACATCCCAGACTAAGAACAAGAAAGAGAAAATTAATATATTTAATATGTACCAGTAACATATTAAAATTTAAGTTAGCGGCCAAAACCGGTTTGGCTCAGTGGATAGAGCGTCGGCCTGCGGACTGAAAGGTCCCAGGTTCGATTCCGGTCAAGGGCATGTACCTGGGTTGCGGGCACATCCCCTGTGGGAGATGTGCAGGAGGCAGCTGGTCGATGTTTCTCTCCCATCGATGTTTCTAACTATCTATCTCTCTCCCTTCCTCTCTGTAAAAAATCAATAAAATATATAAAAAAAAAATTTAAGTTAGCGTGAACTGTTCATGCAGGGATGACCTCAGAACAGTGGTTCTCAACCATGGCAGTTTTGATGCCCAGGAATATTTGGCCATATCTAAAGATATTTTTGGTTGTCACAATGAGGAGAGAGTCGTAGGATGCTACTAAACAGTCCACAAGACAGCCCCCCCCCCCCCCCAGACAAAGGATATTGTAGCACAAAATGTCAGTAGTGCTAAAGTTAAGAAACCTCACAACAGGCAATCAAATGTCTACACAAAGAAGATAGAGACCAATGTTGATTTTTTTTTTTACCTTAGCAGTGTTCCTGGTACATGGTAAGTGCATATATTTGATAATTCCTTTTATATTGTGTAAGCTCCAGATTCTTGAAAAAGTGGGGGAAGGTCAAAGATAGATACACTATTTTGAGGGCTGAAACTTAGAAGACAAATCCTAGAAGGATTTAAAAATATACATTATCAGTATACAGGTGTTAATAGAAACCTTAGGAGTGAATGAGAACTTCTACAGCACTGGTCCATGAACCTCACTGTGGATCAAATTCACTTGAGCAGTTTTAAGAAAATACAGATGCTTGGTTTAACCCCAGAGCTTCTTCTGATTTAAATGTCTGGGAGTGGACGGTGTGATAAGCATCATATTAAAAACAAACCAAAAAAACCACACCTCTTCATATTATTTTAATGTGCAGCCAGTGTTGGAAATCTAAGATTTTTTTTTTCTGAACTGCATTCATTATATTCAGTTTATTAATAAGACATACTACATTATTTATGGTAGCTCAAGCAGTTGCCTGTAGTTTCAACAGTTTTTCTGGGTTTGCTAAAGTAAACATACCCACTGTTGGTCTCTCTGGGTAAAGTAAAAGGCCAGAAAGTCCTTGGCATAATGTAGAGGAAAGAATTTAAAGACGTTGGGAGATTAAAAAAAAAAGTAGATTAAATGGATCATGTGTCTCACCTCTATATCCTGGCTGGGCCCTGAAAACTCATCTCCCTTGCCAGTAAAAATAGAGTGAAAAGGGAAATACCCAAATATTTAAAAGTGCTTTGCTGGCTCCCCCCCCTCCCCCCCCCATCGGCTTGGAATGCTTTTGGAAGGAGATACAATAAAAATGGTATTCCTGATCTCAGTGGGGATGTGAGAAGCCAGCTGAGGCCTGGCCCAGGTGATGACTGTTAACAGTCTGAAGCAAAGTGGGTATTGTTTTAATAGCCAGATGCTACACTCAGGGATCAGGGAATGGCTTCAGTAGCAGAAATCTCTGACTGTGGTTAATTAATCATGGGGTCCCCAGGAATGAAATAGACAGACAGCCAATTAAGGTGTGTCTTGATTTATTTAACCAAAGCTATTCTAGGTCTGATGAACAGAGGCCTCACTGGAGCCAAGGTGCTAGAGAACTTTGGGTTCACCGACCCTGTGCAGGGGAGGCTGGTTCCCGTGAGGAAAGATCCTGCTGTAGCAGTACCCAGGCATACTGTGAATCTCTGCTTCGTCCTTCCGAATGGGGCTGGCAGTCGTTAACCTGAATGTGCATTGAGGAAAGGGAAATACTTCCACTCTGGAAATATTGGCTATTGCCCCAAGTGGCCACTGATTCCTGGGGACTTGTAATCCAATTATAATCAGTTTGGCAGAATTGGAGAT